AACCCCCCAGTGTGGGGTGTGCAGGAGGCAGCCAATCAATGATTCTCTCTCATCATTGATATTTCTATCTTCTCTCTCTTCCTTCTCTCTGAAATCAATAAAAATATATTAAATAAATAATTACATACAAACTTGGGATTATAAGCGAAACTCATTATATTAAAATAGGGTCAAAATTTTTTTAACAAATTTTAATATAGTACATACGTGCTTCTTTATTAACACATATTAACACATTAAATAATAAGATCTGCTGGTGGGACTTATAACTTCCATATATTTCAAAGTAGTAATGAGTTTAAACCATATATTTCAAGATCTCTGCAACAATAACAACACAATAGGAAATCTGTATTTCTGTCAGTGCCAGTTCCAATAATGCTGTGATTTGTCTCCTATAACATAATGGAAGGAACTTCTAAATTTTGGCAATAGGCCATATAAACCTAAATTGGTGAAAATAAATAGAGTGGTGCAAAAGTAAATATACTTACAGTTGTGAGTATATGAAACATGGTTTATTCTTGTATTATTTATTAATTATTGTATTATTTTCCGTACAAACAATGGTAAAACTAGTTTTTTTCCCATCCAACTTCACAGATTTCCCAGATTTAGAACCCCGGTTCCACAGACAAAGACCTGAAAATATACACACCATGTTGGAGTGGGGTGGAGTAGGCTGGGGCAGGAGAGAAAAGCAAAACAAAATTTTTGACATTTTCATATCCTACATTATTTGATTTTTTTACAGAAAGATTGCATTTATGTATTACTTGTATAAAAAGCATAATATCCAGATTCCAGATAAAAAACTGCTGCTGCTCAAGGAGGAAGAAGGCCGTCAGATGCCAGAGCCTTCAGCCTCCTCCCCCTCTGCCTCACTCCTAGGTGGAAACGCCATTTTCTCATTATCTCACCTTTAGCACTTGGATAAACTTTCAGTCTCTCAGGCACAGGAACCCACTGGTTGTAAGAAAGATAGAACCAATCTGTAGTTAAAGGACAAGATTAGGTGTATTTCTGGCATCTTATATTTATATTGATGATAATATAATTCCGTTTCATAGTGGGACACTTAGCTACCCTTTGTAACATTGTTTAATGAGAAAATGCTTTCTAGATTCCAATGTCTGATGGTTTGCAAAGAATTAGTGAACACATGTATGCATAAGCGGAAGACTCTGGCATCTTTTAAATGTCCAGAGTGTTGGTCAGCATACTGGGTGATACACTGACTTCTGAGCTTGGGGGTAGTACAAGGCAATAAGGAGTAAAAGATCCCTTTTGTGAAAAAGGAACAATCACTACCTTTTAACAGACGGCTCTTTGCTTTCATTAGGAATAAAGATGGCTGTTGAAGCAGTAGAAAACAATTGCCTCAATTTTGTGGGAATGAAATTTATTGACAACACACTTTATTTTGTAGGTAAGTCTAAAGCAATAGGCCAAATACAGGTTTCAGATCAATGTATTCAACTAGAAAAGGCATTGTGAGATGAACTATTAAGTGACTCCTTACTGTCATCAAATTCCATTGTAATGCTAATGATATACTTCTCTGGAAAAAGGAAAATTGGGCTTCTGGAAGTTAACCATAATATATCCATGGTCCCAGCACCTTGTCCATCACATGACCTGGCACTTCAGTTAAGCAGTAGCCCATTTACAAGGTGAAAGCTAGTGCACATCATGATAATTCCACAAAATTGGGTACATTCAGGGAATACAATTTCCCTAAGCAAACTGGCAGATTATATAAGAGACTAGAGGCCCAGTGCACAATTTGTGCACTCGGGTGGGGGAAAGGGGGTCCCTCAGCCCGGCCTGTGCCCTCTCACAGTCTGGGACCCCTCGGGAGATAACGACCGGGTGGCTTAGGCCTGCTCCCGGGTGGCAGAGAGCAGGCCCAATCCCTAGGTGCAGCCCCTGGTCGGGCTCAGAGCAGGGCCAATTGGGGAGTTGGGGCACCACCCCCTGTCATGCACAGAGCAGGGCAGATCGGGAGG